ATTTATTTTCATGAAAGATTCTGTATTTTTTGACAATATTTTAGTCTTCTTCCTGAATTTAGCCAGTCCTGGTTTCATATAAGAAAACATGGTGGATAAAGTATAATTCAGAACTACAGCACCTTTGTAAAGAGGCAGGCGCTTTGATAAATAGATCAATGCGTATTTCACATTACACCATATAATGAAATACTGATCAAACTAAACATGTTCATATAGCTATTGCAAATTTACAAGAATTCAATAACATCTTTGTACAATTCCTCTATGCATTAACGCATTACGAATGAACCTAGCATGCAACATTGCAGGTTCCATGATAACCGCCTTATGAATAAATCGTCGGAATTGTTGTCAATTTGTGTTTAAATGTTTACTTCTGCATTAACCGGTTTTAAGGGGTTTGGACGATAATTTGTACTTTCCAGTACCGTTCATGAAAAGGCTCAATCAAACTGGGTCTGTAACATTAGCACTTGTGCATTTTTGGCATTCTTTGGGGAATTGAGTTTTCCTCTTTTTTAAATAAAATATTCATTCTCATATTTTTCCTCTTCAAATAATAAGCAAAGATAACAGTAATATTTTAAATGTTTATTCAGCTGAGAACTTTTTTCAGAACCTTTTTATTACCACATATAGATCATAGCGAGTAAACATGTTTTAACCACTCTTTATAAATGAATAATTTTCAATGACACCGTACAACAGACATACACATGGTTTCAGTCAAGTTTGTATTAGTGCAAAATATACACTTAAAGACGAAATCAAAAATTATTTTTCTCCCTTCTGTGGAAAAAATGTCGAAGGCTTTGGTATTTGCCATTTAGCATCATCACATTTTGATCTTCTTAAGAATGTTCATAGCACATGCTTCTGTGGTTAAAATTTGCCTCGCCCTAAAATAGATGAATACAGAATCCCTAAAGAAAGCCCAACACGGCAAAATAGAAAATGTTGCAGGCTCGGTTTGATTGAGCCTGTTCATGGACGGTACTGGAAAGTGCAAGTTACCGTCCACGCCCCCTAGCACCGGCTTAAGCAGAATTCAACATTTAAACGTGAAATAGTAAAATTTTGAATTTAGAAACATCCGCAGATGTGTCACAGACACTTTATTATGCCACTTAAATAAGTTGAGATGTATTGATTTGCTGCACATTGTATATTTGTTCATCCGTCCGTAAACAACGCAAAGTCATACCGTGAACGTTTTAGTTTAACATACTGACTTTCATAAATGCGTTAAGGGATTCAAAAAGTCTCAGTTCTTATTTGAGTTTTTAATAAACTATGTATTGTCACGAGTTCCGAATAACCCCGACACGCCCTCGTCAGAAATTATTATTTTTTGCAAATAGGAAGAACGCAGTAGTTCATTTTTTAAATGTTTTTAAATCTTTATCCTACATGAAGTAGATAAATTACAGTTTGGACTTTTCATGACTTCATTTAAGGACAATACGTTCCTTCTCCCCTCCCAAAAATGTCTGCACTTCAAGTCAGTGAGATCAATCGTCCTTAAAAAAATATGTTGATACTTTTTATATAGTTCTAAAGCGATGTCCTGGTCAAAGATAAATGTGAAAAATAAACAGAGGGTAATAACTCAAAATAAGCAAATGGAGGGTAACGGTTATTCTGCACTGCATTGCTACTCAGTGAAAGCTATCTATCTACAAAGTTTCAAATTGATTTATTTTGTAGTTCTTAAGTTATGTTCAGGGCAAAGTTAAAAAAAGTGTAAAAAAACAACAAAGGACAACAACTCCAAAAGGAGGGTTAATGTTCTTATGCAATACACTTCCAGTCATTCAGATCTATCAACCTACAACGTTTCAAGTTGGTACCTTTTAAATTTCTCAAGTTATGTCCTGGACAAAGCTGAACGTGTACACATGAACAAAGGGCAATAACTCAAAAATTAAGGAAATTTACTTTTCTTTTGCACTGTACTGCTGCTAATTCAGATGTATCTACCTACAAAGTTTCATATTTTAGTTGTTATGTTCTGTCCCCGACAAAGTTTAAAGCGTTACTAGAACCCTTCAAGTAGAATGTGTCGCCTTTTCAACACTTTGATAAATAAAACATGTTATATATTATCAAAAATAAAAATATCATTAAAAAGTTTTATACTGGCAGATTAAATGGAGGACTTTGTGATATATAATTGTCCATCATCCTATGAGGTTACAAGTCAATAGCTTTTAAAGTGTTTGGGGACTTGCCCGTACACAAATACAGTATGAAATTAACATAGGCCAATAATTCAAAAATCAGGAACTTCAGAGTACCGATTTTTAAGCGCTACACTTTTTCCTAATGAGATAAATCTTTCTATAAAGTTTCAAATCCATAGCTATATGTTTTAGAAGACAAGACCCGTACCAAAATAAAGAATGAAAATTAACACAGGATAGTAACTCCAAAAATAAGAATTACAGAGTAACGATCCGTGTGCACTAAACATTAGGTTATTTGGTTATTTAAAGAAGAACGCATGCCATGTTTGAAACCAATTCGACTTACACTGGATTATGCTCCGGACAAGCCCGAGGGGACGCCGAAGTTAACAAAAGGCAATAAATAAAAAAAATCATGAAGTACATTGAAGTACATAGTAACGTTTCTTATGCACTGCACTTCATTTCAAAAAGCATGCATACCAATTTTGGAATCGATCCGACTTAAACTGACTGCGTTAAGCTATACGAACAAACCTAAGGGGACGCCGCCTTCGCCGCCAACAAAAGAAACCCCATATATGTCGGCTTTTTCAAAACAACACACACAAATTAACAAAGGGCAATAACTCCAAAATTAGGAAATGAAAAGTAACGGTTCTTGTGCGCTGCTATTTCATTCATTTACCAATAATGTTTTACCTTGATATCTTCTATAGTTCTCAAGTTATTTTCCAGACAAAGTTCAAATTGTAATAATGAACCAGCTGACTCCAGTAATATTAAACTTCATTTGTCGGGGGTATAGAAAATTAATATTTGACATGTGTCTTACACAGTATAAAATTTTATAAAGCAATAAATTGAATACCATCAGAATTTTTTGAGAATCATTAGTTAACTAAATATTTCACCAAACATGTTTTCAAATTTACAAGAACCTTTACTTCAATCAACTAGAATTTTGTTACACAACGAATGCCTCCGCATGCTGCCAAAATTTCAAAAGTTATAATATTTGGTTTCGAATTTGTTTGCATAAACATTTTCTTTTTATTCTTTATTTAAGACCCTTAAACTATTCAATGTTAACACAACCCATTGTTATACGAAGTTCGAGTATCAGTGTAAACCTTTTGCGAATTTCATATTTGTAGCCTAGAAAATGATTACAATGGTAGGAAACTAAGTAATCGCGTACCTGCTGAATACTCCCACTCGGGCCATTTTTTTTGCAGAAATTCGGTGCATGCGAAGGTAAAAATCGATTTTATTATAAGAAATAGTAGGAGTATCAAAAATAATATAGCGCACCAAAGAATGTCTTAAGTTATTGATTCTGTACATGAGGGATAATGAATGCATGCAATATCCTTCACGCCCCCTAGCAACGGCCTGACCACGGGGTAATGTTTCCACTCGGACTTTTCCCACAACCTAAAAGTAATCCGGTTGAAAACCTTCTTGAAAATTATTTTTATTTTAAATTAGTTTAATTACTAAGTATCGGAGCATAAACCGAATCATATTTACACATTTTCTTGATTGTTTTCAATTATTTTATTCAAATATCAGTGCTTGTTATTCTTTTAATTAAAATAACAGGACAAATGCTCCCACTTAAATTTGATTTTTAAAGCACATAACCGTGTTAAAATATTACATTTTTAAATATTTTACAGCATTTTGTTAATTAATAACATGTGTGTGGCTAGATTAACTTTTTCTTTCGTTTAATAGAGAACCTTTCTTTGATTCTGAAGGAAACAAGGCGTCATAGTATAGTTTCAACAAACAAGAACGCTTTACAAAAAGGTGCACTATGCCTGCGTTGGTTTCGAGTCTGAAAGGATGATTAAATTTATTGCCCAACAACATAAATGGAATACAATAATCTAAAACGACAGTTTGGATCGCAATTTTGACATCAAGAACAATTTGTAACATGCCGTTATGTTAAAACTAAAACGTATTTCTTTTTTATTTTTCAACAAATAAACATTGATTTCACCATTTGATCTTCAAACTGAAATCTTTTTTGATCGAACCTTATCAATATGACCCCTTTTCATTTTCCGAATCAAAAACTTTATCAAATTTATAATGACCTCAGCTGGAAAATTGTTCAATACCAAATACGAATATAAGAAAAGGCTTAACCGGTTCATGCACCCCGAATAGGTTTTGGACTCAGAAAACTATACCTTATGTTGTTTCAGAGTTATGTCCTGAACAAAAGTCAAAGAGCAATAATACAAAAATTGAGCAAAGCAAATTCACGGTTCTTTTTCACTGCTCATCTACTCAGTGAGATCAATCCACTTACAAAGTTTCCTTTTTAAATCTTTTATAGTGTCAAAGTTATGTCCCGGACAATGTTCACAGTGTAAAATCAACAAAGGGAAATAACTCCAAAATTAGACAAGGCATAGCTTTGATTTTTTGCAAGGCACATCTACCCAGTGAGATATATGTACCTACAAAGTGTGTTGTTCAATTCTAAAACACTTTCATAGTTTTGTCCTGTACAATGTTCATAGTGTTAAAATGAACAAAGGGCAATTACTCCAAAATTATTAAACTGGTTCTTCTATTATATGAGATCTATCTACGTTCGAGTACATTTTCATATGAGAAAAACTAATATCAAATGAAACAACATTTGATTTGTTTAAATGTTAAGCACGGATGCTTGGCTTTCAAATCAATTACATTCAACAAGTAGTCGTGATAGCAGTATTATACTTATATCTCACACTTTAACAACTCAACGACGAATCGCATCTTTCTTAGCAAAGAAGAACAAATACATTTGAAAGATATTGCACATTATATTTTAATCATTTTAAATGGCAGAATAAATAATATGGATATGATGGTATGGAGATACAATTAATATTGTACAGGATCTGGACCATAAATTGCATTTTTACAGACACTTCCGCATCCTTCTGAGCAACATAATTGTCCCCTTCTGCACTCTCTATCGGACAGACAATTTCTGTTTGGGTCAAACAAACATATTCCCGCTAAACCAGAGGATGGTGGACACCTTCCTGAAAACAAAATATTACGGTTAAAATGGTGTTTCAAAGTATTTGACAAATCCAGTTCTGTATGCGGCGTGAAAGATGTTGTACAAGAACAGGACCAATCAAACTCACCTTGCAAATGTACTAGTTATTTAATTTCAACAATCGAGGTATCTCCTTTTTACTAAATATATTGATGCATTAAATATGTTTATTTAAATACGATTGTCTGATAATTATCTGCTAACGTGGTGCTTACCTTCGTTTGGCCTTGGTCGTATAATACAACACTTTCCCCCGGCATCTGGGAAATTTCCCATAAACATACACCTAGTGCCTGGTCCACATTGACGACCCGCAATCGTTCCACACACACCTCGTTGACCAAATGGACACCTCCTTTCTACATCTACAGAAAATGATAAGATGTGTTAACCAATAAGAAATATGTATAAAGCCTCCATTAATAGTTTAACGAATTGAAACTTTATTATCATTATTTGAAAATCGTGCATCATTCATTCATAAACATGTATATACATTGTATATTTACTGCTGGTAAAAAGCTTCGTCTATAATTAGAAAATAATGTAATTTTCAATTTTTGCAAATGTATATCAGCTTAACATGTGTCCATTTAAAAGATTTAAAAGATTTAAAAAAATGTTGGTAGTTAACAGCTAACTAAGTTTAAATACCTGGTCTATCTCTACAACATAGTCCTGCAGTTTGTGTCGGCCATACATTTCTGTTACAGTAGCTACCTGGTGGACAACCAGCATTGACAAAGCCCCCACATACTCCTGCTGATCCCCATCTACATCTATTTGCACCAGGTAAATCGGGTCGTGGGCGACGTTGACGGCTGTATTCACCATCCTGTCCTAAAACTGTATCAAAAAATAAATTAAGGGTATTGAAAGAGTTTAAGTTTAATACAGAATTTAATGAACAGTCAAATAAAATTATATTATGCGAGCCTCTGGCTCGCATAATATTATTTTATTCAACGAGTTTATTTAATTTAGTATTACATTTACACGAATTTAATATTCTATTTATCACATACCAAATATAAAGACTGTTTGAAGTTGAAAAAACAATTTTCATTGACGCGCCTATAGTATCACGCTTACATTTAGCGCGTCGTAACGCTATGTTTATATAACGAAAATGACGTCACGCCAAAATATATGCACGGCCGTGCTATACCATTATACGGAGTCGCACAAGCAGAACATGTATGTGATAACATAATATATTGAGGCACTAGAAATAAAAACGAAGTACAAAAAAATCTATCAGAATAACACAGCTACAAAATATAAAAAAAAAATAAAAATATAATTTTAAGCATGTCTTGTTTGAACTTTAAACTGAAACCAGTCAAAATACGTGTATCAAATTTTGAGGAATATTTCAAGTCGTAACTATTCACATAAATCGAATTATTGTAAGAGAATATAAACATTTGTTGTTGTTGTTGCTGTAGTTTTGTTCTTTTCGATACTTGAAGATATGCAATAACACGTACAAAAATGTCATATCTTACCTGATACAGTAAGAACTGAAAACAGACAAACAAGGAACGCTTTAACAGTAACTTCCATCGTCAAATAGTTGAGTGAAAACTAAAAACACAATATAAATTAACAATTATTTTAGAGAACACATAATAACACCAGTGAAAAATCGTTTATATTTATAACGTTATCAAACAGGATGTGTGATGTGGTGCATTGACGTCAATTAACGTACCGTCACGACTGATGTAAAGCAGATGATCGTATCGACACACAACGTTTTTTAAATGATTTATGTTTAATGTCAAGAAGTGTACGTACAATAATAAAACATGTCAAGTTTGATCCAATGAATTTATTTCCTTGTCAGAAAAAATAAGATTTGAAAATGAAATTTAACAACAATAAGACATATTACATGAAAATTAGTCGATTTCTGTTACAGTTACATTGTAAACATTGTTTGTCTGTTACGTCAATGTATTTATTCAAATTATAACTTGATCATGTATATATATACATATATATATATATATATATATATATATATATATATATATATGTCCAAAATAGTATTTTTAATGATGAAAAACACAACACAATGAATATGTACTGGGGGAAAATCAAAATTATGCGTGCACAAAAGACGTCCTTGCAAATGTATTATTATATTATTATAATGTTATTATTATTATACATTTTATTATAAGCATTAGTACCACTATTATTTTTTAAGGATACAATCATTTCACGTTATTGTGTAAATATTATATTTCCTGACATTCTCCCTTTGAGATGTGCATTATCATGATCAGATTAATCAGGTAGACTTGAAGATTTAAAGGAGTGTCTCTCATTTGAAAATATATAGAGCCTTGATGTACTTTCAAAACAAGGAAATACTTTTTAAAGCGTGTTGATGAATGAGAGTCGATATATGTTTTACAACCGTGCCTTCGGCTAAATAAACGTATTAAACGCAGTAAACACAGTCTGCGGTTAAACCGCAAAATAAATTTTTAGCCATTTGCTAACATAAAAAAGTTTAAAATGCAGGTAATAGTTTATATCAACAACTGATTAAGAAAAAATGTTTTATATTTGAAGGTCAAGAGTTGATAATATTGCAGGCGGAGAAGTAGTGTTAAAGTCAATTACAGTATGTGCTTGCGCGTGCGTTTATGTGCGTGCTCGTGCAAATGTGCGTGTCTATGCCTATGTGTGATCTTATTCTATATTATATCTTTCAGAATACATTTTAAAAACTTCATATCTTCCGATGTATCATGTCAATTACCATAATTTAATTTTAAACCCATCACCGTGCAGGATGAGCCAATCTTCAAAACTCGTTGCAATATTCCTTGTTACAATCAGAATGTATGTTTTCCATCTAAGAAAACTTATAAACTGATTACTTGCTATAAAGTTAAAATAACCGTAGTTGCATTATTGCACTGTCTTTTCATAAACGTATATACATTGTTATTTCTTTGAACTCTGGTAAAAAGCTTCGTATACTGAAATAATTATTACGATTTTGCAATGTAACACTTCAGTGCACAAAAAAAAATATATATATATATATATATCATATATATATATATATATATATATATATATATATAATATAAGATTCATTAAAAGTAGGTCAATAAAATATATAGCGGCCTCGTCGCATTTTATTTGTACAACGGTTTATTCAATTTATATTAATTTACACTAATTTAATCACGTATATATATATATATATATATATATATATATATATATATATATATATATATATATGTCAAAATAGTATTTTAATGATGAAAAACACAACACAATGAATATGTACTGGAGAAAATCAAAATTATGCGTGCACAAAAGACGTCCTTGCAAATGTATTATTATATTATTATAATGTTATTATTATTATACATTTTATTATAAGCATTAGTACCACTATTTTTCTTAAGGATACAATCATTTCACGTTATTGTGTAAATATTATATTTCATGACATTCTCCCTTTGAGATGTGCATTATCACCATCTGATTAATCAGGTAGACTTAAAGATTTAAAGGAGTGTCTCTCATTTGAAAATATATAGAGCCTTGATGTACTTTCGAAACAAGGAAATACTTTTTAAAGCGTGTTGAATGAATGAGAGTCGGTATCTGTTTTACAACCGTGCCTTTGGCTAAATAACGTATTAAACGCAGTAAACACGGTCTGCGGTAAAACCGCAAAATAAATGTCTAGCCATTTGCTAACATAAAAAAGGTTAAAAATGCAGCTAATGCATTTTTATCAACAACTGATTAAGAAAATGTCTTATATTTTTAAGGCCAAAAGTAAATAATAGTGCAAGCATAGAATTAGGTTAAATCAATTACAGTAAGTCGGCGCGTATTTATGCGTGCTCGTAAATTCTCTATCTGTGTTATCTTATTCTAAAATAATTTCGAAACAAAAAACTCATATCTTCCAATTATCATGTCATTACATTTTATTTTACCCATCAGATGAAGGAAACATAAACTTATATGTTCTTGACAATAGGTATTTATTCCACTGTAAGCAACTTTAACGATGGTCTGTCTTATTAGTTGATTAACTCTTGACCGCCATGTTTTCTTTTTATCTTCTTAATATATATTATGTTCTAACATAATTTTAGTATTTTTTTTTAATATTATCATAATATCAATGTTGAAATTTGAATAATTTAACTTGTTAATCGTCAGTTATATAGACATGCCTATTGAACTGCCATTACCTTAAATTACCGTAAAATTAAGTTGGATTTATAACCTGTTCATTATTATATTTAAAAATAAGAACCACTCATAGCAAATAGTATATGTATGTCGGCCATTTAGATACAAATTGTATTTGAATATATTTAAATAATTATAAATAGCTTTTATTACCAAAGGTTAATTTCGATTATTAATGATAATCTCGGTTATATTGAAAAGCGTTGTGTATCTCTGTAATAAATATAATTTTAAGTTAATCTTTAGTAAATGTTTAACAACAAAGCTGATTAAAAAATTAACTATACTTCAAAATAATAATAATTGAATACCTAATATAAAAGATGGACATTAAAAATACTCATATCACTGCAATACTGAAATATGAAAACTGTTATTAAAATAATGATATCTGTATTTTGTATACAGAGTTATGCAGTCATTATTTACGCGTCGTTTAATATATTATATCATAAGAAAACCTTCTTATTTTATAATTCACTTTAACTTATTATTTTTGTTTATAGTAAATGCATGTATAACATTTCGATGAAATAAATACTTGTGTACAAAATAAAGTTTTTATACACATATTTCTATTTTATCTATTGATTGTTGCTATCTTTATGATAGGCCTAACTTAATATAGCTTAGTGTTTGAAATATTTTAGTGTTTGAAATTATTTTGCTTCAATAGAATTGCTGTATTTCAAATGAATTGTAACACACTTGCTTTGGTAAATCGGCAAACTGTAACCAGTCTACTAAATCGACTGTTGATGAAAGATGAAAATAATTTAAAACACTAAACTGGTTGAAGTTTATTAGTACGTATTAACACAAATAAATTGGTTGCACCTGACAAATTTAAATGTGAAAATATGTACTAACAATTTTTAAACAATGCATAACGACAGCAGATTTTAGAACATTATACAGTCAAACTTATGTTAGAGTCCACCTCTGAATTTAATATCACGCTGTGAAGTAAGACTATATTTCAACAACCGTTCGTTGATTGAATAAAACAGAATAACCCCAAAAATAAAGACCACTTGTCTATGACGGCCATGTTTGAAAACTCCTTTAAGGTTTTGATTTGACTGTAATCAACGATGATGAAAGTGGCATGACATAAAGAAAAGCCATTCGGTGGTAAAACGGCTTTTACGTATCATAGTGTAATTGTTGTCTACCTTATACGTTACGTAACATGAAAATGTAATTTAATCCCGTCCTTACCATAAATGAAGTTTTTGACATCCGGACATTTTACAACCTCGAACAAATGCCGTGATATTATTAATAAGTTTTAAACAATGGCTATGATAGCCGTGCTATTTCTTTTGATACAGGCAATATACTCAAGATAATCCAGCATTGTGTACTGACCTCCAATTATAACTGACAGAAGCCGGTGCTAGGGGGGGCGTGAGGTTTGTTGCACATTTTCATTATCCCTCATGTACAGACGCAATCAAGCCGAGTTTGCAATTTTCATGTTATTTTCTTTTTTTAATACTTCCGAGGAATCGCTTTTTTCCAGATATGCATAGGTATAACTGACTAGCAAGTGGCCAATATAGTATTGCGGTCGACTGAAAGTAATGCCGTTTCTTTCCCGCCAGTTTTTGAGATCATGTGGAAACATTTGCATCTGTACATTTCTTTCGTTCAAGATGAAAGATTATCTTAAGTTTTGTCATTTAAAAGAAATGAAAAAACTATTTTTCTTCAGATAAAAAGTAAAACATAAGTGGACTGGTCACGCTTCATTCAGCCGACTGATAAAGGTAATAGTTTTATTCTTAAAGCCAATAAATTAATAAGCGAGACCTGGGCTTTCTTTGGAGATTTTGTGAAAAAAGGCATGATCAGTCTACAGATTCAGTGGTAAGAAAAGCAAGAATACAGACAAAAAATAAGTTAACGACATTTAGCAATACACATTTTTTTTAATTGTCTTTAATAATTTTGACAACAATACCCATTCTTACAATCGTAGCCATATTGACACTTTCCGTTTGGACATTTACCTCCTATCTTCTCCGGTGGGCAATAATTCGGGTTCTTTTTACAGCAGAAATCATTGATACAGTCGAATCCAGAGGGACAACGAACTTGTCCTGGAGTGAGATTACATACGCTATCTCCTTCTAACCATCCGACGGGGCATCTTGGGTGATTACAGCAATATCCACCTCTGCATTTGTAACCGGCATGACATTGGTTCTGTACAACACATGCCGAACCTATAGACCCAGATGGACAGACAGTGGACCGACAGCAGAAATCGTTGGGCATACACATGTATCCCTCAGGACATGTTTTCTGACCATTAATGAGACTACATGATCCACCCTTAAACCATCCAAGGGGACAGCCTAGATTTTTGCAGCACAGATTGGTTTTCTTTTCGCATGTGTATCCCGGATCGCATGGTTGATAATCTGAGCACGCGGGTCCAATTATGCCAGAAGGACACCCTAAAATTAACAATATCCTTAAAGCAGACAACAATACGATTACATAATTGATATAATGAATCCTGAACATTACAATTTCAATGTGAGAGATACAATTTTGCGATGACATGATTGTATGATGGCGTGGCTATTGCTTAAATACCTTTAACATGGAAATGATTGTTGCATAGAAATAATTATGCGATAATATGATAAAATGATATAAAATAAAACTAAAGATGCATCCGATATCAGAAATTAAATAAAACTAAAGTAGCCTTCGATATCAGAAATGAAATATAAACTAAAGAATTCTAAGCCTCCGATATCAGAACTGATTTTAACAAATAAACAACTATGTGATGATATTGCACTATAACTTATGAACATATAAACGTTACGATATTTATTAAGATACAAATAAACGAATATGGCTTTATTTATTGAAAACAAAGGAAAAAGGAAATATCAAATTTTAAATATTTAATACACGATATAATAAAATGGGACAGAACTTAACTTAAGGACAGTTTTAAAAAAAAGGCAATACGTTTATACATGAATGTAATTATACACCATTTTGACAATTTAAAAAGAAACAAATTTACATAATCTACATATACAACTATAAAATTTATATGAATGCAAAAGTAAACCGAAGCAATATCCTAAATATAATGATAATATAACACTATTAACGAAAATATAATACAAAATATGGTGAGTGAAAATCAAAACCTAAACACCGTATTTATTGTTACGACATTTATACATTTTGCGATAATTTGATAACATAAAGTCACAAGTTAGCAATTTTGTACATGACTAAATGACTTTGATGTTTACTGAAAAAGATCAAACAAATAATTCGTATTTTAGTTACATCAGCCTTTTTTTTAGAACGAAACACATAAAGTCTGTTATATCTTCATTAATAAACATAACCTAATAAGACGGTTTGCATGTAGAGACATGGAACAAATGTACTAAACATATGCAGCGGTCCTGCCAGATGACTGGCCGTTATTTCCTGAAGTAAGATTTGTAAATACTGGTTAAATCAAAGAATGAATTTGAGAGTTTACCTATAAGATAAAACCCTCCGAGGTGAATTCGATTCATAACCGAACAAATACATAATTCTTTAAATAAAAATATTCAATCAAATTGATTAGTACTGAAGTGCTTGGAACTATTTAATGAGCCGCGTCACGATAAAACCAACGTAATGCGTTTGCGACCAACATGGATCCAGACCAGCCTGCGCGGATGCTCAAATATATATACTCGTAAATGAACTTCATGAAAGTCTAGGTGATCTTTAAAAAATTCTGACAGTAGACATGTATATTAAGTAAACAAAAAATATTTCCTCTATTCATATTGATTTGTTTTGTTTTATACCGCATGAGAATCAGAGACACAAACTGGTTTCGGGCCATTTTTAAATTGTATCATTTTAAATAAACCTGATAATCATAAGGTAATTCAAGCGTTTAATACATAGCAAACATAGTTAAATAGAAATATATGATCAAACTAAATACTTACAATCATATTGTGGTGGAGGACTTCCAATGGAACCTTAAATATACAAACATATCATCATTAATTTTGTCTTCATTTTTTTAGAGACTATAATTCAATAGCGTTCAGATGGTTCGTTTTGACACAAGCAATCTAGACAACTAAACCGGGATGACCGCAATCCGCTTTCCAAACAAAACAAACATGGAAAAAAAAGATTCATTAAAGGTGCTCAAAACGGCAAATCATATTCTTAAAAATATTGCTGTTTGAAAAAAAACATTGTTGATAAAGATCCAAGTGATTTAGTATGAACGTTAATATGATGAATTATTTTTCTAGAATATTTAATTATCTGCTATGAAAACATTTGAAATATCTGTTCACTTATCAAAAATGTCCCAAGTGCCAATAACATCCGCGATTTTTTTCCGGTTTTGTAGGAATGTATAATCATACAAATTACTCTTAACATATTTTCACTATATTACATGTATTTCATTATAGATCAGTTCACATGAAACATATGAAGTTAAAACAAATATTTTCAGAATATTGACAGGGTACTCTGTATATAACAACAGTAAAATGAAGCATTTTTAAAGCATTTTGTAGCCGCCACATCCAAAATTGTTAAATGTATCAAATTCTGTTTCAATTATAACTCTATATCAAGAGTGCATAAACATTTAAAAACAGCGTACACAAAGCGTTTAACATTCATTTTGAATAAAATTAACGATAAGTAAAGAAAAGTGTTTTCTTACCTTCAATACCTTGGAAATAGAGCGAAATGATAATAAAAACAGCTATCTTGATCATCTCTGCTTATCTCAGAACGACTGTCAGAAATTAAATGACGCAACAGTGAAGTTAAATTATGATTTATATACACCGTAATCCCTGCCATCTTGTTGTTGTTTTTTTGCTGTTGTGGTTAAACATAAATCATGCATATTAATACACTCAACATGAAAAGTAAAGCAACAAATTCATAACAACTATTTTATATAAAGCAAGAATGTATGTGATGTATTTCAGAATGGAAATACACTGACTATAAATTTTATAACAGAGAAATCAAATTAAAACATTGACCTTGACATTCAGTATTTAGTATCGGCATGTGGATCAGCCTGATAAATATCGAACTGAAACGTTAATTTTATAATACCAGTATTTAATAGCATTGACATGCTAGTTATCACGATGTTTAAAGACAATCCGATGTTTAACCGATGAAGAATCAATCTGTATATTAAATATACTATACTGCACTTTTTTCTGGACAAAAGTGATATAGTCAATTATTTCGTAGAAATCTTGTATGACAATTTTATCAAACCTAAAGGTAGTCCAATCAAAAGCAACTTTACAAACGTGCTTTATAACACTGATTTATGAAATTCATTTTTTACAAATAATTACATGTAGATACTGACCTTTGTAACGTGTTTAAGACATATATCTTTACGTATAATATTCCTTTGTCACGGACCCATCATGAATTTGTTCTTTAATTAAAAGATGAAAGAAATAACTCATTAGTAACACATCCAGATGAGACATCATTATGTTCCAAGCCTAGCTGATTGGACGTGCTCATTTGCTGCCATTCTTTCAAGCTAATTTGTCAAGCTTGAATACTAAATTGCCATTATGCATTGCCGGGTAAAAGACATTCCGGTCATTTAGATGGTTTAAGATGATTTAAGTCAGTGCTTCACACATTTTTCTATTCTATTCTGTTTTAGTTATATTATGAGTGGCGTTTGGAAAACATTGTTTTTTTTTTGTTTTTGGTGGGGATTTTTGGTGTTCTTTTCGTTTGTTTGTTTGTTTGGCTGGGGTTTCTCCCGTCATTTGTTTGATTTCAATATGTTGTCAGTGCAGATGTACCTTTTATTATATCTCATGAATTGTTTTTACAAAAATATTGTATTCACAGAAAAAATCTTTAATAAAACCGTCGTAGATAAGAAAAAAATACGAATCATACTTGATTTTAAAGCCATAGGCGAAAGACATTTATTCAATAAAGAAAAGCACTTCATAAGCTTTCATACAAAATTCAAGTAAAACACATTTTTATTCCAGTAAGTATACACAACATATCTATTAAGGTGCAAAACAAAACACGTTTATTCAAATTTGGTTGTAAAAAACAATAACGTATAAAAGATTTTTGCTTCCAAGAACAAAACAGTTTCTTTTGACATAACATTTAACATTTTCCTTTAATTGCATGATTCGTCAGCTTATTTCGAAGTAAAAACAAAAATTATCATTCTCGAAACAAACACAAAAAAAACGCAATGATGTTGACGTGATACATTATGAAATAGATGTAAATTTATACAGCACTTATGAAGACAAGAAAATTAAATTTCTGTAATGTCAGCATACAACCTAACTTCAAAAGAGAGAGTAAAAAAACAAAATATCAACAGAAATGAAATGTGAAAAGAAAGCAAATTTTAATTTTAATTTTATATAAAAAAAAATGGTTTCAAGCAAACCAAGCCTAAAAACATTTTCAATTTTCCGTTTTGTGCTTTCTTTAGGGATCTTAAGGGATTTTTTTCTCTAATTTACATATAAACTTTTTAAGTTGTGGTCACTAATGCAATCGTTTTATTAGATGTAATAAAGGTATGCAAAAAGGAATGAACTTTCATTTATTTTTATATCTGTGTGTTACACGTGCAAGAGATGCTGAGCTTTTCATCTTTGCATTTTGGAATCAGTACAGTAATAGTGATCTATCTAGGTATTCTGTATTTCTGTTATGTACAAAATACTAACGTGTTGAAATTTTTGCTACCTTTGTTTCGAACTAATTCATATTCAACACTATTTCTTACAGTCTACTAGCATCTTACAAAACACAAAATTTCTAAAGAATGATAATTGTAATTATTTCTGAGGCTTAAAAAGATGCTAAATTCTAAAAGATGATTGAATTGTTAATTAAAAGCAGTTGTTTTATGTCAATAACAATGGCCTAGATAAAAGAAAAAAACATGCCCCTTTATTTCTGGCCGGACAAAATGTGTGTCATAAATGTATGCTTCTGTCAACAGCCTATCACCGGCCGTAGCCAAATGGATATTTAAGGGGAATAATATATATGCAAGCATTTGAACTTACAAGTGCTTCTACTTTATTTGTCCTTTTATGAAATTGTTAATTTAAATGGACTTTAATTTATTTACATTTTTTTCTTAATGAATCTTGTCAAGTTGCGTTTTTTTTTGGTTTTTATTTTTTCCAATAAAAATATAATTCTCAAATGGACGATTTTTTATCGGATTATTGTTAGATTCAAAAAAAGTCATTCAATTTTTTTGTTAAAAGGAAGTGTTGCGAATTTTGTTTAATAAAGAGGTTTTAATTGAAATTGATTCTTTTATTAACATGTTATTCAAGACTTTTTAAAATAAGAATATGTGGTTTATAATTTTAAAGATTTTAAAATTTATACATTATATTTGAGTTACAAATACCCCTTTTTAAAAGGTACATATTTAAAACATAAAGTTTTTTCAAAATAAATTAAATCAATTGGTTTTAGAAAGCAAGTATAAATTTTAAAACATTTTAAAATTTAAATTTTACTTAACTATGGTTACAACCTTAATTGCAACATACAGGTTCTTTAAACACATATTTTCCTGTAATGTTCATACTATCCTGCGAAAACAATTTAATGATTAGCACCCTTCCTGACAATGTCGTCCGTATGGATTTACGATACTAACAAGCTACATATTACAATAACAAAACTAGTTTGTATATATGTTTATATTTTAAAATTGAAAGAAAAATGTTAGCCATATGTGCAGAATAAAATGGTACAAATCTTCAATTATATAGTTTGAAATGTACTTGTATAAACATTAACTCATAATTGTATATATCTGGAGGCAGTAACGTAGGTTTCGAACAACAAAATTTGTTCGTTCGTATATTTATAAAATTTATTTTTCTATTTTGACAACGAATTATCTAATGGAATATTAATACATAAAAAAGACATAGAGATAATTGTTAATGCTATTCGTTTTATTCCTTTTCAATGTCCATTAGTTAAAAGCTAATGAGGAATATATCAAATACAAAAAGTATTTACGGCAGCTGTTAATCATAATATGCCGCAATTAACGTTATTACGAAATTTAAATTTCAACTGATTGTGCATGTCGTACAATAAACAAATTTTGCGATAAACATAAGACGCAAATTATATCAATAAAAAATGTTAACAAATACATTCATCATATTCTGTTTATCTTTGTTTTTCTATGGACCTGTCAAAAACCCGACAACGAAGTAATGCAACATGTTTTTCTTGCTGTCTTAATAATGATACCTAAAACATTTATATATTAATATAAATCGTGTTTATGTCTCTTTACATAAAAAAGAAAATATTCGCTGTAAACCTGCAAACAACTGCTAACAACATGCAAATGCAGCTGTTCTTTTTATGCATATACTCCCTCCGGTAAATAGATAAAAATAGCCAAACATTTGTTACTACATTTGTATTATATTTCTATTCGTAAATCTTAAAATCTTTAAGACAAATATGTGGCGAGTTTTCAATTTAATTGTAAAAGTGCTTCTTTCAATTTATATGATGTACTTTATAATAATCTTATGCTAATAGTATTCATAACCAACGAAATGATTTCATTCTAAGAATGCAGCTCATTTATAAAATCCGCCAGTATGACGTTTTTTTTAAGATTTACAGACAGCTTTCATCGTTGGTGGAAATGGATATATCAAGCACCGGTGAGAACACTGTAAATCCAGCAGTCTGATATGCAAGTTTAACTGTTTAAAATCATTGAACAATAAAGAAATGTATTTGTCTCTCTGTTCCTAAGCTTAACTCACTGCTAATCATAAGTGTGTGATGTGAGCTTCAAATATTGGTAATTGATTCAATTTATATTTTTGTAATATTGTATTTCTAATAAATCCCCATACATTATAAATTATAAAATGTACCATATATACAATTTCAAAAATGATAATTGATTGAATTTCATACGAATTTCGTTCATTTAATGATCAACATTATTTTTTGCCAATCGCATTGCAGTATTTTTTAAATTTCTGCTAAGTCTTTCTTTGGTCAATGTGAAATAACTAAATAGAATTTACTTAATTATATTTTAACCAGTCAAACTAATCTCAATAATGCATTAAATTAGGGAGGAGTTAGAGGTGTGGTTTGCACTCTGAAATGTAAAATATGTAGGTATTGCGGAATTTCAATTCAACACTTTGTCTTCAAAACTATGTCAACGTAAAAAAAATAATTAGGCAAGGTCAGGTGAATACAATCAAATTTATTACATAGGTAATACATGTGGGGCACGGAGAGACAAATGATTGCACAGTAGCTTTTAGATATACCTTTAACTGTAAGAAAAATGTCTGTTAAAATCTGCTGACTGTATTAACTCCATTGTGTTTAGCTTATTGCATTATTTTCCCGCTTTTTCATTCACACATTTCATAAAAACATGATAGTCTTACTGACATAGGTATACATCCTAAAAATCTTTATAAGACATTAAAAAATGTGCCTGGTTATATGTTGAAAGGGCCACTTATCTATATGCCACATGTAAGAGTGTGAAAAGGGCGGGGTTATCCGCAGTTCAGTTAAGAGAAATGCATTTTTGGTTGAAAAAATAATGTTGATCATTAAATAGGTTAATGCTTAATAACATGCATTAACAAAATTAACTAAACTAATTGGTGGAGTGCCTGCGGCCTGCGACACTCTTGACCAATTATTTTGTTAAATACGTATCATTAAACACTAACCTATGCGTTATTACTATGTTTACATACAGTGTTTATTTCCCATAAAAGCTTTCACTCCAGTTGCTCCAAATGTCAAATATATAAAACTAAATATATAATCACATATGCACAATTTGGCATCTTTGCTTATGACAATTTTGTGTATTCTTCTTCATGATAATCAAGCAATCAATCAATATACAAAGCTGTTTCAAACACGACAACAATTTCCGAATCTACACACGTATCCTTGTCGGCAAGGTTTGGATAAAGAGCAAGAGGATTCAATAATACCAGAAGGACAAACTGCCTCTGGTAAACGACAGCAGGAGCCGTTTATACATTTTGTTCCTTTTGGACAAATTGGCGCACCAGGATAAATGTTGCAGCTGCCCTCGTTTACCCATTTGTTTGAACAAGTTTTCATTCGACAGCAAAAGCCATTTCTGCATTCAGACCCGGTATTGCAAGGTTGAAAAGAAGAGCAGGGGTTTCCAACCTCTCCTGATGGACAGAATGCTGAAACAGTAGAACGTTTTAAAATATTACACGCAAACCTTTTGGATCGATATATTTAGTTCATAATGCATACTATCAACGGCCCAAGTAAAATTCAAAGTTTTTTTTTATTTTATTTTACTTATAAATAACAATGTCCCGTTATTGTGATTGGTCGAGACACGATCACAGGCAAGCTCATAAAAATGTTACACGCAAATTGATTTCAAATAATAAATCAAAATGCCTCGAAGCCTTTTTTTAATACTATGCTTCGGTATATATCACACAGCAACATCTATTGACTTTGATATAAATTTCATTGCCAAACAAAAAATACATAAAAATAAACGGATGATAAATAAAATTAGTTTTAATCGGTTAACAGAAAATGTATATTATTAGTTTACCGCAAATATTTTTAACATATTTATTTAATGGATGAACGGAAAATACTCTTCCCCTTATATTACGTTATTAGAAAGAAATAATTGTGTCACTAAACTTAATGCATTTCTTTAATTCCATTGTTAAAGCAAGTCTGTGACACAAAATATTGCACCTTTTTCAGGACCTTTATTGCAACACCATCCAGTTTTGCTTCCTGGTAAATACTTGCATACTGTTCCTGCCCTGCATTGTTGTCCACTGAACCGACTACAAGTCCCAGTGTACCCGTATAGACATGCTGTCATGAAAGTGGAAACAACTTACAATTAATCGTACAAAACCGCTTTGTAGGAACAAATATTAGATTGCTTAAGAAATAAGTTATCCCATAGAACATAGCCCAAGTGATATAATGATGCGCATCCGACCGACAAACAGTGATGTTATCCAGCGATAAAATCGCCGATTTCGATATATTATTTCGATTATAACACGACATCAATATATAAATACTGTCGTCCCTGATATTCAGAAAATTTGCGCCTGATTTGTTTCCGTACTTATTTTTCGCGCATCGATTTTTCAGTGGTTACGTTACATGTATAATGATTACGTCAGCTATCTAAATATAGAAGGTCAACAGTGATTTTATTGCATAATAACACATTTCCAGTTCTTCTATATTCAATAGGGCAAAATGCGAGTCGTGTTAGAATTTCTATATTTTATAAGAAATAATTAATAGAAGTGACATAATTTGTTTATATGACATTATGTTTTAACAAATAAAACTATTATAAAGTAGAATTGTTATTTACAACAAGAGGTAAGGTAGAGATCTATGTATAATTAAACGATTGGTGAAAAAAAATCGAGGTGCTCATAAAAAATCATTATCAAATAGAAATAAAAGTATATACAAACACGGCCTCGTTCTGCAGCAAATCCCAGTACCTGTCACTTTGTTCACAAACGAGCATTTACTATGTGGCGGACACTTTTCTTTTAAACCACCACCGCAATTTCCTACTGGCGTTCCATTACATTGGCTCCTAAGATCTGAATGCGTGTATGATTCTTGGCTATTCACTGGTGGGTTTGCCTGTCCACTCAACGTCTGTGATAATGTATGTATCATTGGAACAGCTTTAAAAGGACGAAACAGTTTGTTGATCTGTTTGCCATTTCGTTTTTCCACTAGGATATTCGATTTGGTGCGGTTTGATATTTGCTGTGTCGTCAATGGTTGACCTATTTCGGAACGTTTGAAATCAAATATAAGAATTTAAAGTATATTAAAAAGCTTCAACGATTTTCATCTTTTTATTATTTAGTTTTTTTTCCTAAGTATACTTTTTCCAACCATGCTGTGCATTTTGTAATTTTTGGAATATATAAAGTTCCTTTCGCTTCCCGATACATTATAAGTTTTCATATTATTAAAGGTCATTATGATAATAGCTTGATGTTAAGTTTAAACACCTTTCCTTTAACTTCTTTAAATTATTAGGGAAGAAAACCCCAAGAGGTTTCATACCAACGCTTCAACTGTTGGCCAGGTCACTGCTACGTTTTAAATGAGAAATATTAAACACAGTTCTTATAGTTTACATAATTTAAATTGATGTAATTACAATTGATCATTACTCATTGATGGCTTTTCATGCGACAGATTGCTCTAATTAACCTTTTTTATTTTATTGTACATTTAAGTAATCGTTTCATTTTCTTCATTAAACTTGTTGTACATGCATATGATTTTCTTACGCTTTAATACTTGAAATAAATATGAAAAGTTTAATAACATTTAATATTTACTTGTCTGAGGTTCAGTCTGGCAACACCAGCCGACCTGTATGCCAGGAATATTTTCACACGACGAGCCTTCGGGACAAGGTCCATGTCTAGACCCACCACATTCACCCCTGTATTTACACACTGAAAATATCGATCTTCATGTAAAACCACTTACAAAAGCCTTGAAATAAAAACAGGCATAAATTATGGGAACCGTTTTAAGTGAACATGTATACTATCTTTAAAAAAAACAAGAAAAGTGTATACAAAAACGTGTGTTAAAATTGCTTCTAAGATTTCAAAAAAGAAACTTGAAGATTATAGCAATACAATTATTTTAGCAAAATATCTGGAAAAATTGTTCCCTCGGAGGCATTAAAACAGCAATATTACATGAAAACTGCAGACTTGATTGAGTCTGTACATGAGGTAAATAAAAACGTGCAACATCCCTCGTGCTCCTAAGCACCGACGTTAGCGTTACTAAATTCTAAACACTTTAAAGTGTTTGACACAATGGTTCCCGAAGGACCGGAAAAATTTATAACAACATCAAAGTGAAGAACGGGACAAGATTTGCGGCTATGGTGTTTTAATATCTGAAAGGGTGATCGGTCGGAAGCATTAAAACATCAAAATTACGTGAAAATTTCAGACCCGGTTGTGAAATGTGAAATAAAAAAAATATTTTGTTGTTCTTGTAATTATTTTAATTGCTTTGTTCGTTCGTTTGTTTCTTTGTTTGCTTGATACATCATTTTAAAACTGAAAATAAAAAGTTGACAGTTTTTTAAGCTTTTGTGATTACATACCGGACTCGGTCCCAGGGTCGCCATGAACGTCAAGATTTTGTATTGGGAAAATCTCTTTTGCGATGACGATGTTTTGAGTTTCACTCTTTGTTAATGCCTCTGTTGTTATAACGACATCCTGTTGTTGTTGTTCAATTAATTCTTCTATTTCAGCGTGAATTGCCACTGCTTTTTCAAATTCTTAAGTAAAGTCGACAATTTAACATTTTTAATAAACATCGAACTCGACGAATAAAATACATAAGACCAGTGGTTTAGTTATTTTTATAAATAACATGAAATCTATAATTATATTTATATCAATATTATAAGTAAGATGTTACAAAAGTCTTTGGTACAATTTCCTCACATTGATTCTAGATTCAGCAATTTGGAATAAAAATTGAAAATTTCTTAACAAAAAATATATGTTTGTCCTAAAGGGACAATATAGGGAGACACTGGCAAAAATTCATTCCTTCGATTTAAGTTTTACTTTCAATATTCTATAAATGTCGTCGAAATGAATACACTAAGCAGTCCCAGAAACAAAACGTTTCTCCTTATAAAGAAAACAAAAGTGGTTTCTCAATTTAACCCACGTGGGTCAGGTTAGATACTTTAGATTTCACTATTAAAGTTGTTATAGTGAACTGTTTATAAGTTTAAGTACCTGTCAAATGAATGACTAAGACTTATTTCAATCTAACAATATCCAAAATATATGTTACTGTAATTTCAAGAGTTTTTTATGTTACAGTACTTGTTTTAAAACTAATCGGTGACTCTGTCGGTGTCTTAATGTCCTTCAACATATAAGGATATTATTACGCTTTATTACATGCTTTTCGGTGGTTTATATAAATATATCAGTGTTTGAAACAGTGAAATTACCACTTTGATAATTTCACTGTTTTGAATTTAAGCCCCTTACGTTGTTTCAGTGAAATACTAGCGTGCACAGTACTGGGTACCAACTTAATGACGTGATGTCGTAAATGACGTCACGTTGTTTTATCATTTGGCGCGCTTTTCATTCAGTATTATGTTTAATGTCTTTTTAAAACGTTTATTTGCATATGATAAAAAGAAAATTTGTTTAGTTTAGTGTAAGATCGAAATATATTTCACCTTGTGAACACTCGTGAAATATACCTTTTGGTGCTCACTCGGTGAAATATATTCCGATCTTACACTGAACTAAACACATATCCTCTATATAAGCCCACATATATAGTATTTATACAGAAATTCATGCTAGGATTTCAGCAAATAAGATCAATTTAAATTTTTTGTCATTCATTTGCCTAAGTATCCCTTTACGTTTCAAAAAATAATGTTTTTCTTACTTCATAGAGGACAAATTTAATGTTGTAATAATCGATTTAGAACATTATATGCTTATCACCTGGCTGCGAATAATTTGACAACTAAACAAGATATATAACAATAAATAACGTTTTGGAAGATGTAATAGGATTTTTGTTTAATTAGGTTTTTACAAAATAATACTTGAAAATAAAACCTTATAACTCACGTAAAAGCAGAATCAATAGGAACATAGCTTTATTTGACATCATCGTTATATCCATAAATGTTGTTATCTAAAATAATATCCAGCTCTATTATTCCAAATCGATATGATATACCGTCTTACTTCACATTAAAAACCATTATACATTGTTATTGATGAACTTTTAATGTTTTTTTTTTAATTATTCTAAATCTACTCAGTGGAACTGTAAAAATAAGGCGAAGCAATTTTTTTTCAAATGTACATCTGGAAATAAAATATACATCGATACAAGTGTTACTTTAAAAAAATGGATATTTACTTTTGGACTTTCTAACGGTAGATATTGAATATAAATTTAAATTTAGAATTATTTTTTAATGCTTTTATTTAAGCGTTGACTGACCATTTGTGAAGAATAATAATTACCTTTGCGATAAAAAAAAATCATACAGCAACGAAGAATTGCTATATTTGATTGATTGAAAAATTCTCAACTTGTTACTAGTCTACTTATTACAATTATAACTGTTTAATTGACATAAGTATCAAATAAATCAAGTGCAATTTTATGAACAGAACAGAACATTTTTTTCTTCTTTCGGACATATGCATAGCTCCTTGTCCACAAAAAAAATGATTACACTATATAATGAAAACGCAAAGTAAGCAGCTCTTACATGTAAAATAATATGGAAAAAAACACAATAAAAAGACACACAATATGTATTAAGTATTACATATCACAAAGTAAAAAGTTATATTTACAGTCTTGATGACAGTCTTTTATATAAGTCTATATATATATATTAACAGTCTTGATAACAATCGTTCCGTTAAACATTGGATTTCTCACATATAATAATAAAAATTATATTCATTTTCAATGTCTCAAGCTGAACATATTTTACAGACTTTGAGAATTTCACTGCAATCGTTTCTTTGTCGACCCTATCTTTATGATATAATATAGTTTTAGCGGCCTAGAATTTCGGACTTGTTTTGTGATTGTTGTGGTTTTGTACTTAAAAGATAATTAAAACCTGAAAATTTGACAATATGTTAATGATATGTTGTTTCATCAATGGACATTGTTACAAACTACACTATTAGCATAATTATAAAACATATATTATTTTTTGGTGCGTGAGCTTTAAACTGACAGATACTGCATAAATTATTATTTAGGACTTAGATCCTAGAGATGAGTCAGTTGAATCTTCAAACAATTAAACTTGAGATAAATATGATAATAATAACAAAATATCAACCTCGGTGAAAAGTAGTTTTACATAGAAAATTTTGTGAAACTACAATACAAATCTAAATTGCTTTACACAATCAATGATCATAGCAACAAAACGAGCCAAACTATTTGCTTCAACGCTTCATAATTGTAAATGTTTTTGATACTGAAAAGTTGCGATTATTTCACGTAAAACAACTGAGTAAAATGATGTCTCAATATGTCCGATTTATCTAAAGATTTAGTGATACATTTAAGACTACCATATGGTCCGGTGTTGTGATAAATGAAGTGGTATCTTTTTGATTAAAAGGATCGGTTTAATGTAAAATCTAGTGATATATTTTATAACCTCAAATGGTCCGATTTCATGAAAAATATAGGGTTTTGTAACAAAATAACATAACATAACCTGAGAAGATCCGTCTTAAGGTATAGTTATATATTTTTATTTACATTGAAAAAGACCGTTTTTATGTAAAATCTGTTAGTATATCATTATCTTATAAGATCCAGTAAGTTAAAGATCAATAGTATTACAGAAGGTCTGATTTAATGTCAAATCTAGCGGGTTATTTCATATTAGAGTTATTTTAATAAAATCTAGTTTTATGTAGAATCTAGTGGTTTATTTTAGATTTACATTGTCTTACTAGTATATCCAAAACAAAAAGTTAAAATTTGTTTTTGTTGGGTTTTTTTCTTCTTTTTTTTTTCGTTTTATTATGATTATTATTATTATTATTATTATTTTATTATTATTTTTATTATTATTATTATTATTTTTATTATTATTATTATTGTTGTTGTTATTATTATTATTATTATTACTACTACTATTATAGTATTAACCATTGAGAACAGTTAATGTTTTGCTGGTTATAATTTCGACCGAAACAAAGCGTGCATGCGCCTTCTGCGTATGGCAAAAACGCAATGACGATAACAATAAGTTTTCATTATATTTAAAGGCTTTAATAGACTTGATTTCAAGTAATGTCGCACAGAAAAAAGCAATTTTACGGATGACGAAAAGCTGTAAGTACTTGAAACGTTTATTATTTTGTATCTATAACAGGTATGCGAAACTATGAGAGACTAATGATAATTCAATGAAAACTAAAAAACAACAAAATAAAAAACGTTTGTACAACAGTTATCTTTTTGAAAATATCATTAGACGACTTTTCCTTCTGAAATTTAAATTAAAACAGCTGGGTGTTAAAGATTAAATGTTATTACCCCTGTATTAAATATTACACAATTTCTATTGTACACTCCCTTTGAATAAGAGGATTGGAAGGCGATGAAGTGCCAAAGAGATTGACAGGTGAACGGTAGTTTATTTCCAGCTAGATTTCAATATCATTTAGCATTGGACAGTTGAGTACCATGACATCGTTAATCACGCACAATATTATTATGAAAATCGTAATAAGTCCATTAACGGTTTACTGGAGTGGACTTAAGGTTAAACGTTGAACTTTTTCGACAAATTGGTTAATTTTACTCAAACTTCTTCATTTCTTATAGGATTTACTTCAAAGTCCCACATCATAATAATATGACAAGTTTTATCAATCTAGAATCCTTATTTCTAGAATTATCTTTTCCTGAATCTCTGAATTTTTCATATTTATTCTTTTACTTTTCATTTACTTCAAACATAAAATAAACATTCATTATGAACAGCTTCAATACTAATTGTTTTCTATTACACTCATATCATGTTTGACAAATTAGATCTTTATTTCAAGAGTTATCTCCTCTTTTAGAATTTTGCTTTTAAAAATGTTATATTTTGGTAATAGGGATGTTTGAAAAAATATTTTTAGAGTGTCCTTCAGTCTGTCTGTTTATAAAAACTGTTTCCTGTGATCACTTTTCAAGAACTTTTCCAACAAATTTTCTAAAAAAAGAGAAAAAATGAAACATTAGAGAATGGCCAATTGCCCTTCAAAATGTTGCTGGGGTTCTAACCGGTAGGGGACTTATGGATTGCTTGCAATACTATGACAATTGCTTGTTTAAGTAACTTTTACATATACCAATTTCATCAATGTTTACTGATTTTGAGAAGTGACAAAAAGTGTGACGTGCATTTACATGTGTTACGGGAACCGGGTGATAAAAAGTGTGTTATTCCATTACCCACTACCCTTCTTAATTTCTCAAAATTTTGAAAAAAATATGTAAATATATCTATGTGACGTCAAACTTTAACGAATGATAAATAACCTCGATTTTATAGATTATTAAAATGTTTTAGTTTTCATATGAACTATTTTCAAAACAAATAAGTTAAGAGACCTCTTTAATTGCCTATTTTTCCTCAATTTTTTACAAAAATGTAAATGACAAGTTCGTAATCGTTAGCTTTAAATTCTTAAACAAGCATCTTTTCTATGCATTTTTATGGCAAACCTTGCCACAAAGTTTTAATGCCATTTTTATGTTTTTGATAAAATAAAAAACTATTTATTATAATTTTCTTCTTACCACCTTAAACTATATTTCCATGTAGAGCGATCGATGCTCATTTTGCCCTACGCAGATTGTGCATGCGCGAGAAAATACTACTTCCGATCGATTTTTCACAGCCACGAACCATGCCGTAAAAAAAGGTCTGTAAACTGCATAATTATTTTGAAAAATTGCTGTTTTTGTTACATCATTTTTACCAGGTTACCACAAATGTCAAGATTGTTTGTTTGCAAATGTTAAAAAACATTGATGATTTTTTTGTGATTATAAAGGGCTTTAGGAAATGTTTAATAATTTTACTTGTAACAACATTTTCACCATAGCTTGAATTCGCTTCTCAAATTTGCCATAAATTGATGAAAATGTAGCAAATTAAATTCGAAGCTTTAGGAAGAATAAATAGCATTCAAACATGTTTGATGAAATAATGAAACAATAGATAAATGTATATTCAATTTTAGTTTAAGCATATAATATACATTCTTTCAATATATACAATGTTGAAATGGATTAGAACGAAATTCTTATATTTTTCTTCTCTGACTGTATTTTAAATGTACAACAAAGTGATGGCATCAATCTACTGAGCCAATGTGTATGAATTCATATAATATGTTAGGGGGAAAACCTTATAGATACATACATATTCAAACATATGTAATAAGTGGTAAGATATGCTATAATTATAACGTTATCCTAGTACATTAAGGACTGATTTGCTTTGACTGGTTCTGGAGAATACAAATTTAATGTAAAAAACGACTGTGAAAATGAATAAATGATGTTTCAATAAATCATGTTTCAAACCTCTTACTTTGTTTGAAATATTACTGAACTGCGGAAAATATAATCTTATTTGCATCAACTGATTTGGATTCCGTTCCGAACAAGATGATCTCTTAACATGGAGCTATAATTTTTAATATTGTATTTTACAAAATGTGCCTTATGTGATCAAATCTTTGACATTCCTAAAATAGTAGTAGGTTGACTCAATTTCACTACACTGACAAAGGGGCGATTGAACAATATTCTTTTAAAATAAATGTTGATTGAGAGAGCTGCAATTTCTTCGGAGTCGCGTGTGAAGTACTTGATATTTCCTGTCACCATAATAGAATAAAGAATTGCTTTGCAAAGGAGAGACTTAAAGTTGTTTAATGAGTCTGTATATTCGTACATTGGTGGTATCTCATTCCATTCTTTTTATGTTGAAGGAACAAAAGACTTGGCGTACAGAGAGGTTCTTGCAGGTATAATTTGAAAGTTTGTGGAATTACGAAGATTATACTGACTTGTTTAACCTACTGTATTAGGAACAAGATTACACAGATATTCAGGAGAAATCCCATTTATTATCTTAAAGAATACAATTATTTTTTCTTTACGACGTCGCTCCGCCAGACTCTCCAAATATCTTT